GCCGAAGGGGTGGCCGAAGGGGTGGCCGAAGGGGTAGCCGAAGGGGTAGCCGAAGGAGCAGCCGAAGGGGCAGCCGAAGGAGCAGCCGAAGGGGCAGCCGAAGGGGCAGCCGAAGGGAAATGAGTATCTTTCAATTTCTTAGAACCTTTAGTCGACTTTTCTTTCTTTTCGCTCTTTTTTCCATACTTTTTCGAGGCCTTTGCTTTCTTCCCCATCTTGGTAGGCGCCAGCGGTTCCAAAATGCGGGCAACTCGGCTGTTGTCTTCCAAGAACATTGTTGCGTTTGCAAAAACGGTCATCAGGAAGACAGAAAGAATAGTTGTTTTGTACATCATCTTGGAAATCAGGTTTGGGTTTGAAAAGCAAGGAGTAGGAGGAGAAAGTCAATGTGTTGCGCTTGTGAATCGAGATTTTGGAGGTTTGTGAAAGGATCAGTGATTCTTGGCACATCTTTGTTGTTGTTGGATGTATGGAATAGTTGATACATTTTCTTTTCGTTTTTCGTTTGCCTGGAAATCCGTACATCCAAGGTATGTTAGTGATATGTAAGAAATGATCCACGGATCCAACGCATTGCGAGGGCGTTATATATTCATATGGATTTCAGCATTGGCCATACTCTAGGTTTTCGAAGGGCTTGCATTTCTATGTGGTGTGGAAAAAGAGTGACAGTAGTGTGTAGTCTGTGCATCCTCAAAATTTCATGTTTTTTCAACGATTAAAATTTGACTGAATCCCAATGAAMGAACGAACGTAAAAGAAAAAGAAAATTCCATCGATCATGGGTGTAATCATTGTTGAGTAAGGGTGATGGCTTCAGTTAGTGAGTAGAGTCATAGCTTTTCTCTCCACCCTTCGTGACTTACAGGAACGAGGGAATGATTTTTAAAACTTCGTTGCAACTAGATGGGACTTGGATAAAGTATGACATCGCATTCTCAAAATTTGCCATACGTAATCAACGAATGGGTCTTGTTTTATAACGTTCTTCTGAGAAAAAGAAAAAACCTTCGAAGAAATAATTAGTAATCTGAATGCATTTTATTGCCATTCATTTTTTTCATGTGACTAGCGTTCCGACTTGTCCCAAGAGAAAGTTTGAAGATTCACATATATTCCGAAGACGATCCCTTAGATGTGTATCGTTTCAAGGAGTTTCCAGTTACAGTACCCTAGCTTTATTTCTTTCGTTCGAATTGCATCACGAAATTTCTGTTCGATCTGGTTTGTCCTGCAATGGATGGCTTCGAATACTTCTTTTGATTGTTTTGTGATTCACATGAAAATTCGAAATTCGAAATTCGATGCTTTCTTACCACCGCATACTGTATCGTACGTACGGTACTACGTAACGGTACTCGTACATCGTAGCCACAACCAAAACTCATTGCAGCCAACGATTTGAAGTCGATTTCCCCCGTCAAAACTAAAACCCTAAATCTCAATCCATTCTACAGTACGGAACAGAAGTTTATTGGCTGCCTTTCCGTTGGCACAAAATTTCATGCTGGTCATTGTCAACGGCTATGTAAAAATTTTCCCGCGATTTTACAATGTCGTGGACGCGCGCGATCAGCCCCGGGAAGATACTCTTGTCACGTTTGACTTTAAAGAACATACTTTGTGGAAGGAGCCTTCCCGGGGCACGCACCGATGCATTGTTACATGCGCACTAATATGGACGAGTATCAGAATGGCATGGATACCCGTCCAGAAAATCCTCACCGGAATGCCATCCAAACGAAACCGAACGACCCTTTGCTAGAAGCTCGATTTTTTTCGTGGTCGTTCTTCTGCTGAGGTACGAAATGTCATACACATGAATGATTTCCGCGCTGTCTTGCGCAACAATCGATGCAAATCCGTCACGCACACCACTGGCATTCGAAACCAGAAACCTTCCCCTGAACGCAAAGGAGTCGTAGACCCCTTCAGCTGTATGCATTTCTGAAAGCACAGGATACACTCGCAGTTGATTGACAGAACATCGACGGATCTAATTTCGGACAGTACATTACAGCAGATTTGAAAGAACATTGTCAACTGAGGTAACAGCGTCTCCCACCTATTTCCCACTTTATTCCATTCACACCATGTCTATCATGACGTTGCATATCTCTTTCTGCAAACAGATATTGCTACTCGCTGTAGTATGGACGATGCTGGCGTCAACGGACGCAGATCGACCGAAACTACGCCGTCTGCGTCGTGACCAGGAACAAGTATTTGTTGTGGACGGATTGAGCAATGGAGAAAATGGTCGGCCTTCTTCTTCCTCCTTTCTCTACGAATTCGGAGATTCCAGTGCAGCCTCTCGAGCTCTGAAGTCTGCCAAGAAATCAGGAAAATCTCACAAGAAATCTGGGAAATCCAGCAAGCACAGTAAATCTCACAAGAAATCTGGGAAATCCAGCAAACATAAGAACAACACCAAGTCGGGATCAAAGAAGTCTGGTCGCGATACTGACATCCCAATGGTGGATTTGGTGAGTGTGGCAAGTATGAGCATGTAAGAGAATCAAGATACGATACCGTACGACAATTGCATGCATGAGGTCGACAACGGCTGTGAATATTGATTGATGGATTCGGAGCGAGGAGTAAGTGGAAACAAAGGTTCTCTCACGCAAACACACACAACACGTACAGAGAAGACAATTGATTATTAGTCCCGGTGAAGAAATGCTTCACGTCGAAAGTCAACAGTCAATACATTGGGTTCACGACAAGAGAAGGGCTAAAAGAAGTTTAATATGGCGTGGTACCGTAGATTCATGGTGTGATCGATTCGTTTCGGTTTCTTTCCGATGAGATTGAAGACTCTCAGAGCATGCATAGCCCACTAAAGGCTAGCGACGAGGTCATAGTCTGCAGCCAACCAAAGCTGATAAATTTTGAAGTACATAGTGATATACGTCTGCCCTGAATATTTCTCTATAATCTATAGCGACCCATCGTTTCCTCTGACGGCCCCAGTTTCCTTTCTGTCCTTCAAACAAACAAGACTTGAGATATTCCCATGTAACGCTATAGTCCTCCTAAAAGCAACTCCTGAATAGCTGAGTAGAGAAATTCTCTGTTTTGTTGTTTCATTGCCGTACGTACGGTACTGTTTTTGGCTAGTCGTGGCGTGAGAGGACGATGAGATTCCGGAATAACTTTAACTGAACCATTCTTCAAGCAAGACAACAAAGCATGACAGGGCTCGTGAATATCTGTTATTTTTATGTTACAGAAACCTGAAAAAATAATAGAAAATGTCTGTTGAGAAAAAAGCGTTAAATAGACATTACAGGCAATAATAGTTTTTGAAAATGCACATGGTCCTTTACTTACGGTACTTACTGATCTTGAATGCATCGAATAAAGTGAGGTATTCGTGGTATCAGGCGTTCCTCTGCGGTAGTTCAAGAAGCTACGGTAGGTACGGAAAGTGTTCTACCAGTAGCTCCAGATCGAGATTTTTCGATGCTTTAATGGTCGCGCGGATATTGTGATGTTTTGGCGGTAAGATGCTGCAGAATGGCGCCAAATACGATTTTGTTCGGCGCCAACTTCGTGTGAAGGTTACTAGTACCTGGTACGAGGTAGGAAGGCAAGTGTGTGGACCGAATGTGTGACAGGTTATAATTCAAAAAAACCGCGCAGTTTTTCTAGTTGAACAAAAAACAGCAAGAGGGTTGTCACGCCCTCCAGACAGAGCAATTGGGGACACTTCCTGGCAACACACCCACTGGAATAACTT